TACATGCATGTATGTGTATATATACATAAATATATACACATATATACTTGTTAATTCCCAGATAATTTATACACACCCATGCAAATACACCTATGTACATATATATATATATATAAACTTTCCCTAGAAGAAATAATTTCTATAAATAGAAAAGTATTTTTAAAAGTAACTAAAAGTATTTTTAAAAGTAATTAAACTATGCCTCTTAGCAATTTTCTACAAGCATCAATATATGTCTCTTAAGCCTATAGATGCTTCTTTTGAAAACTACAGTAGTAGTTAAACATTAATGGCTAAAAGTCTCTTTTAAACTGTATTATTTTCATTAAATGAAATAAGCAGGTTTGTTGCACACAGCCCAGCTATAAAGCTTACCTAATAAGCACTGTCTGTACACAAATCTAAGATGGAAATTAAATTTAAATCAGATTTCTTTGTTTAAATAACTCTTACACTGAATTAAAGATATAATTTAATTTCATATACTATATATGGTTTTCATTTAAGATATAAGGGCTTCCCCTGTGGCTCAGTGGTAAAGAATCCACATGCAATGCAGGAGATGCAGGATGAGCAGTTCCTGATCCATGGGTCAGGAAGATCCCCTGGAGGAGGGCATGGCAACCCACCTCAGTATTCTTGTTTGGAGAATCCTATGCACAGAGGAGCCTGACAGGCTACAGTCCATGGGGTCACAAAGAGTCAGACACGACTGAAGCAAATGAGCATGCACACACGCAAAGTTTGATTCACCATAGAACACAGATAACTTTTGTTTTAGTCAAAAATGAACACAAAATATTAGGAGTTAAACCTTGTAGAGTTCATAAATTTCCTCTGATTCAGTAATTTAAAGCAAATCACTACGGCCGGTGAAAGGTGATGTTTAGTCAACTCTTAAAAGTCCACCAAGAAAAACATTTAAAGTTTCATTTTAATCTCACTTCCCCAAAACATATTATGGTCCTCAACAGCAACATGCAGAAATGACTCATAACTAGACATACAAATAGTCAACAGACACATGAAGAGGTGCTCCACATTGCTTGCACTGCTGTGCTCAGTCATAGCTTACTCTTTGCAACCCAAGGAACTTTAGCCCAGGCTCCTCTGTCCATGGGAATTTCCAAGGAAAAGTACTGGGTAGCTATTTCCTTCTCCAGGGGGTCTTCCTGACCCAGGGATTGAACTCGTGTCTTTTGCATCTCCTGCATTGGTAGGCTGATTCTTCACCACTGGACTACCTGGGAAGCCCAGGGAAATACAATTGAAAACCACAATGAGATATCACCTCATGCCTGTCAGAGTGGCTACCATGAAAAGAACCACAAATGACCAGTGTTGGTGAGGATGTGGAGAAAAGGAAACCCTCATAACACTGTTGGTGAGAAAGTAAATTGGTGCAGTCACTATGGAAAACAGTATGGAGGTTCCTCAAACAACTAAAAATAGAACTGCCATATGATCCAGCAAGTCCACTCCTGAACGTATAGCTGAAGAAAACAAAAACACTAATTCAAAAAATAAATGCACTCCAATATCCATAGCAGCTTTATTTACAGTTGCCAAGATATGGAAACAACCAAACTGCATATCAACAGATGAATGAAGATGTGCTATCTATACAACAGAATACTATTCAGCCAAAAAGGATGAGATTTTGCCATCTGCAACAACATGGATGGACCTAGAAGGTATTATGTTTAGTGAAATTTCAGACAGAGAAAAACAAATACTCTGTGTTATAACTGATATGTGGAATCTAAAAAAAATAAAACGAAGGAATGAATATAACAAAACAGGAAAAGATTCACAAAACAAACTAGTGGTTATCAGTCGGGAGTAAGGAAGGGAAGGGAGGAGGGGCGAGACAGGAATAGGGATTAAGAGACTCTCATGTGTAAAATAAATAAGCTATAAGGATACCCTGTACAGCACATGAAATGTAACAAATATCTTAGGATAACTCTAAATGGAGTGTAATCTATGATTTCGAATCATGTTGTACACCTGAAACATGCTCAGTTGCTCAGTCATGTCCGACTCTTTGCAACTCCATGGACTATAGTCACCAGGCTCCTCTGTCCATGGGCTTTCCCAGGCAAGAAAACTAGAGTGGGGTGCCATTTCCGACTCCAGGGCATCTTCCCAACCCAGGGATCAAACCCATGTTTCTTGCATCTCCTGCATTGGCAGGACCTTTACCACTGAGCCACTTGAGAAGCTCCATACACTTAAAACATACTGTAAATTAAATATAACAATAAAAAATATTAAGGTTTTTTTAAAGTTAGTGTTCAACCTAGAAAACTTTGAGAAACTACATAAATTCTTGCTAATATGTCATTAAGAACTAAGAAATTATATAGGAGAAACCCAGCAAGGCAACAGGCAGAACACTGCTTAGGAATATTTAAAATATTTAAGATGATATACAAGACAAAAGTGTGTACAAAATGCAAACAGTATAACAAAAAAAAACCAGAACACTTGGTTGTTGTTATTGGCATGACAAACATTATCTCTATATGCCATCCATTTATAGAACTGTTTCCGATTTTTTCTTCATCCTTACTGCCAACATTTCATTCAGGCCCTCTTCAACATACATGGGTAGTAAATTTAATAGACAGGTCCAAAATGACTTATAGTCAATTTTTTTCTAATCTGGTGCTTCCCAAACTTGATATGACTCACTCAGGGATCTTAAAACACTGGTTCTGATTCAGTCTCACAAGTTCCCTAGGTAATGTTGATGTAACCACACTTTGAATAACAGATTCCATGTACTCAACAAGCCTATCACTTCAAAAAAAAAAGGGGGGGGGGTCTTTTTTTAGGTTGTGTCTGGTCTTAGCTGCAGCACGCAGGATCTTTTATTGCAGCCCACTGGCTTCTAATCACGGCATGCAGGCTCCGTAGTTGGGCACCTGGGCTTAGCTGCCTTGTGCCATGTGGGATCAGAGTTGCCCGAACAGGGATCAAATCTGTGTCTCCTCCATTGCAAGGTGGATTCCTAACCACTGGATCACCGGGGAAGCCCCTATTACTTTTCTAAGTTATACAATATATTTAACGTATGTATTGCAAAATCACTACTACCACAGTGTTAGCTAACACCTGCATCAAGTTACCTACCATTTTCTTTAATTTTAATTAACGTATAGTTGGTTTACAATGTTGTATTAGTTTTGCCGTGCAGCAAAGTGAACTAATTATACGCATACAAATATCCACACTTTTTTAGCCTTTTTTTTTTGGCTGCACTGTGCAGTATGGAAGATCTTAGTTCCTCAGACCAGGCACCGAACCCTGCCTTGGGAGGGCAAAGTCTTAACCAGTGGACCATCAGGGAAGCCTCTCTGTTTCATATTTTTAAAACACCACTTATCTCATGTTACAGCCTCAGGAATCCACCCCAACTCAGTGAAGCATGTATCAACATCTACATTCAACTTTATGGGTTCAGAACTTCATTTTGGATCAATTTAATCTGTTTCCTAATTGCTATTCCCATTTCAGTTCATTTCTGCCCTGTTTTTTGTTTGGGGGGGTAAAATATATATACAATAAAGTAACAATTCAATGAGTTTTGCTAAATGTATACACAGTGTAACCAATATTCTCCTAAAAAGATGGACCATTACCCCAACCCTGTGTGTTCACCTAACTCTACAAATACCTTTCCACCTTCCCCCTATCCTTTTAAGTTCCTTATTAAAAACACACCCAAATTTACAACAGGTATCTTTCTAAATTACTACTAATTTTAAGACCCTAGCCATCATCATCTGTCACTGAACTAAAGCAGTGGGCTTCTCACAAGTCTCTCTACTCTTTTTCTTACCCCCTCCCCCCAATTTATTATCCACAAAGTAATCAGTGACCTAAAATTATAAACCAAATCAGGTCACTTTCCTGTGTAAAACACTCCCATGGCTCACGTTCACATCTGTGCCAAGTCCAAATGCCTTTTCCTGTATTCCTGTATCACTAAGCTCTCCAACTCTGACCTCCTCTCTTGGATATTCCCCCTTACTCTCAATGCTCTGGTTATATGAACTTTTTTTTTTTTCCTGGTCCTAAAACCCAGCAAGACTTGTCTACTTTAGGAACTCTGCAGGAAATAGTCCCTCTACTCTTCCCCACCATCTTCCTATCACTAGCTATGTTTAGCTGCTTAGAGCTCAACTTCAAAGTTACCTCTCACAGAAACCTTCTCTAAACACAATAACCTAAAGGATCCACTCAGTCACTAACACAAATCTAACTTTTTTTGCATTGCTGTTATTATCAGTATATATCTTATTAATGTGCTTGTGTGTCTGTGTGTGTGTGGGGGGGGGTTCATTCGCAAAGTACTGTCTGACTCTTGACAACCCGAAGAATGGTAGCCTGCCAGGCTCCTCTGTCCATGGGATTTTCCAGGCAAGAATACTGGAGTGGGCTGCCATTTCCTCCTCCAGTGGATCCTCTCAACACAGGGATTGAATCTGCATCTCTTGCCTGCGTCTCCTGTGTTAGCAGGTGGGTTCTTATTAATGTGCTTATCATTTATCTGTTCTCACAGGAACACAAGCTTCATGACTATGGAACTTACTATAGTGTTCACTGTTAACGCCAGCCCCCAGAACAGTATCCAGCTCATTACAAATAGATGATAATGTCTGTTAAATAAATATGTATGTTCATACTGTGCATATGGAAATTGTGCCTGTGTACCAATACAGACTCCCCTATGAAATTCAAAGAGAATAAGAAAGATACTGCTAGTCATCCAACAAGGCAAATCCTTCACAAGAAAGACAGGGAAGAAAAGAACTGAAGCTTTAATTTGGGGCAAAAAATAATATAAAACACAGATTAAGTCAAAGTTTAGTTCACATAAAGTTTAATCAGTCAAGTTAATGAAAATATCAAAATTTGTGAGTTAGTGTCTGGCGGAGGAAATTTAATTTTGTTGCAAATAATACAGTATTTGGTGTCTCATTCTGGACGGGCTATGCTGCAGAAAGAGCAATGGCATTGAACCTCAGTTCATCAGGGTCACGTTCCATAAACTTCTTGCAAACTTCTATGGCATCCTAGAGGGAAAAAAGACACATAATCTTTCCGTTTAAAAACACGTTTTACTTACAAATGATAAATAAAATGTTTCATAGCTTCCTAATTCATAGTAATTTTATACTGTAGACTTGTTCTCTCAAATGCAAAATAACTCAGAGGACACCAGAAAAGTGAATAGCTGGTGGCCTAATTTGCTTAGTACAAAGAAATATGCTAAGTGTTCTTTCTTAAAAAATTTTTAACCTGAAAATTACATGTTTCATTGATTCTAAGCCTTACTATTTGTTCATAAATTTTAAAATCTTTAAAATCAAGAAACAAATGATGGTACCTTGGATTTAATGAAACATGGGATACGATGTGCAACTGTTTGTTTTCAAATTTGATACTTGCTTACACCAAGAGTTCTCCAAACCTCTTTCATTGGCTGTAGATTTTTAACACTAGTTCAAATTTTTCTTTTTGGATTTTTTTCCAGAAAGCCAGGACAAGAAGATATACAGAGAAAAGTTACACCAGTTCTCTTTAGAGATATTTTAAAGGTAACAAGAATATTAATGAACTCAAGGTGGGCCAACAGGTTTTACTGTTACCTCTAATAAAGTTTCATCACTAGTTTCCCCATGGTTAATTGGAAATGGTTTCCGTCCATCTGAGGGAAAATAAACAAACAGGTGAATGGTTAGTTGTTTGCATAGGATAATATGTTTTTTTAATAATATAAACAATTACTGACATTTATTTCATTTAGAAATTTTTCCAGCTGACCCAGAAATATCCTTTATTCATGCTGTTTTGTTCTATGTGGGATCTATTCAAGAATCACATATTCTATTCAGTTGTCCTATCTCTTTAGTCTCCATTAATGAAGAATGACAGGATAATGTATTAATACTTTCAACTCCCATTTTCCTCTTCCCATAGTGAGGCAAAAGTTAAAAGGTAAAGTAATATATCCTAGAACAAACCCTTTAAAAGTGCTATATATGAGTATTTTTAACACTAACGGTTATTTAGAACCTTGCTTACATGTTTGAATATCTAAATTAATTTCATAAACAGATGCTAGTAGAAATAAACACTATTGGCTTTAATTTCCTAAAAAGAATATGCAAGACAAAATGTCAGCTTTTAAAAAATTACAACCATCAGAAACATAAGAAATTTCAGGACTTCCCTGGTGGTCCCGTGGCTAACTCTCCGGAACACTCCCAATTCAGGAGGTCAGGCTTTGATCCCTGGTCAGGGAACTAGATCCCACAAGTTGCAACCAAGAGTTCATATGCTGCAACTAGAGATCTGGCATAGCCAAATAAATATTTTTTTAAAAAAGGAAATATAAAAAATTTCTTTCTTCACTTTAAAGGCTTCTGATAAAGGCTCCTAAGTATAACTGACATTTATACCAATGAAAGGGAACTACTGCAAGGTTTATATATTACTACTACTAACCATGTACCAAAGTAGGAACACAGAACAACAATCGCAATAACCTAGGGTTATTTTATTGAACACCAAGAGCATTATCACCTTGAATAAAGTAGTACTTTTTCAACACTATGAAAAAATTAAAAAGTTCAGAATTACATAAACTCATGCAAACCCAAAGTTAACTGATACTCTATATCCAAGTCTATAATTTCAGATGTTTTATAAGTGGCACTTCAAGTTCAAGCCATAAAACACAATCCCCCCTATAATTTCATGGCTTCTGAACATAATAAAAAATTTTGAATCAGTATGCATGCACAGTGATAGACCTGGACTAAAAGACACTACATTTAAAGAAAAATATGAGTGAAAATGAACCAAACAAACCAAAAAGCAAAACAGGACAGTTATTAAATCCAGAGAAATAAAAAAGTGAAAAAGTACATTAACTATGGCTCATCTGAGAAAAACATTTCTGCAGTCATAAAAATCTAAATAATTATATACTATATAACACAGGGATCTATAGTCAGTATCTTGTAATAACCTACAATGAAAAATAATCTAAAAAATAATATATGTGTGTGTGTATAACTGAATCACCTGAAACACTGTAAGACAACTATACCTCAATAAGGTCTATATATTAAAAAAAAGAATCTAAACAACTGTAACAACAGGAAAAAGTAAGTATGTATTTTGTGACTGGGAGACAGAAGTAGGTCAAGAGAGGGACAAAGGAAAGAGATTTGTATCTTCATTGTGGGAGGCCAAGGAGTAACAGTTAGATAACCTCCTTCTCCAGCCAGGATGAAATAATGTCCTGGACTGGGCTTTCCATCGAAAACAACTAAAGACCTTGACAAAATACCTGAAATGGTTGTATTACAGACTGGGAAATATGTAACTCAGAACTGTTAGGTAAGCCTAACAATAATACTAGTTCTCTGCCAGTGAGAGAACTGGCAGAGGGAGGGAGACCCAAGCAGCCTACAGCCACCTTAATTAGCAGACCAAAGAAAAAGAGGGCAGAGTTTGAGGGGAGCAGAGTTCAAGGAGGCCGAGGCAGTTGGAATCTGCACAATGCCAGGAAGAAGGCAGCTACACACTTGGGAGAGCTCCGGCTATTTCTCTGGGCCAGGCCAGGATCAGGGGGCCAGGTGGGGGCGGGAAGCAGTGTATCTGGAACGGAGCTTTAGGCTGAGCAGCCAAGAGTTTGTTTAGATATCAGGGAAGGCGTAAGTCAAAAAATACATAAAGGACAATGAGAGCTAGATTTCCCCTGCTCAGGAAAGGAAGTCACAAATATGGTAACACTAGCACAAAATGTATAATATTAGCTTAGAATTAGAAATGTGGATGTAAATAAATGCTCTTTAATATAGAGAAACATGTAACTGATTGATTGTGTGTCCATGTATATTCTTATTCACATATGGGTGTCTATTTATATCATACATACAAGTATTTCCTAGTCTGTCCTCTGAGAAAGCCTAAAAGTGACAGCATCTTAATCACCACGAGCTCACTGAGCGCCTAGATCTTGGTTCTAATCATCACCTTCCAACAGAAAGAACCAGGGCTCCTTGGAGAAGGAGCTGAACCCAGGGCTTAGGCACGGAAAATAAAAGATGAGTCAGGAAACGCTGCTCTACTACAAAGTTAGAAAGAGCGCAAAGAATCACAGGGACAAATTAAAAGGACGTATGCCAGGAACTACTTGAAGCCCTATGGACAAGGAAGGGGTAATAAAAGAAACATGAATCACTCAGTCCCTTCCGTTAGTTAATCTTACAATTGGGTACAGAATGGACATATTAAAGGCTACCACTACCCTCTGTTATATAATGGTTCTGCAGAAATTCACCTGTACCATGTCTATAATCATGCAGTCTTATTTTAAAAATTAAAGATATTCAGAAATAATTTTTTCCTTAAAAACCATATGCTGTTCTCTTAACCACTATTTTCTAAGAACTAACTCAATACTTCTCTTGTTCAATGTTCCTTTTAAATTAGGAATTTGAATCAGGGATACCACCAATTCCCCTTGCAATGAGTCAGTAACTGTCCATCTTCATTTGTCTTGTATTAGTATTTATCCCTATCCTCTATGACATCTCAAAGATTCCTGCTATTCTTTAGAACTTGGAAATTCTTTTAAACTCATTTAAAGAATGTAATTCCCAAAGGGCTCTAATTCTCTATCAGCCACATTGATCATTCTTCCTGCTAAAGAATACTTGAACCAAACAAGACCTTAGTAGTTCCTTTCTTTTCTGATGTTCTTACATCAAGCCAATTTCAAGATCCTTTCGTGTTGATCTTGGCGTGCTACAAAAGAGAACCATTCCCGCACATGTAGCCAACCCCTGATATATGTCTTTCCTTCCACTGCCCTTTAGCCTCTGAGCTCAGAGAGCCAGCTCATCAGTCAAACTGGGTTTCCAGACAACGGATTCCTTCCCATCGAGATAATCACAGATTTTTATCCTCTAAGTATCTTTTACTGTTGTTTGTTCTATTATTAAGCCTCCCATTCTGAAAGTCACCATTACATTTTTATAATCTCTGGTTATGGGCCATATTTATCACTCCTCTGGCCTTTCCTAAATCTATGAGAATGTGTCTGATTCAGTCTCAGTGATCTCTTTAGACCTCCACTTCTACCAGTTATTCTTTAAAAAATATATACACACACACACACACACACACACACACTTCTTATTTCTTTTGGCTGTGCTGGGTCTGTTTTTTTTTGTGTGTGCTGGGTCTTCATTGCTGTGTTTCTCTAGTTGTGGCAAGCAAGGGCTACTCTCTAGTTGTGGTGCAAAGGTTTCTCTTGGTGAAGAGCAGAGGCTCTAGGATGCTAGGACTTTGGTAGTTGCAGCACATGGGCGCAACAGTTGTGGCTCCCGAGCTTGAGAGCACAGGCTCAACAGTTGGCGTGCATGGCGTGCATGATCTGCGTCATGTGGCATCTTCCCAGATGAGGAATGGAAGCTCTGTCTTCTGCATTGGCAGGTGCATTCTTTACCACTGAGACAGCAGGGAAGCCCTACTAGTTACTCTTTAAGAGTGGAAAACTAGCTTCCAGCAATCGGACATTTGAAATCCCCAATTCCTATTACATCTTATCTCTATGTAAGTTCCAGAGGCTGAATTGAGAAAGCATACCTTCTAAATTGCCCCGCAGGTCTGTTATATAATCCCATGACAAGGACTTCATTTTAGCTTGATTCCTACTCAAATCACTCTACTACTGTAGATGATCCACAGGGTTGTACACTTCTTTCCTTTCCTTGTCCCCTTTAACAGACCCCTTCTTTTAAATAAAGTATATGATTCTGTTGCTGCATTCCAAATATAGAATCCATCTAAATTTTATGGACCACGTTTATAGTCACACTCAGAGTCCTTTCTGAACTTTTCTGTCTTTAAATAAGTTAAAGAAAAGGAAAGTGTGAAAGTGTAAAGTTAATATTTAACAGCAAATGAGAAGAGAACTAAAAATCATGGTATCTAGAAACTGAAAAGGACTTCACTCTTTTATTTTCTTTACTTGGTCTTTTTTCTAATCTAAGAAGTTTTCATAGAGGGCTCATAAGTACTGTAAGTATTATGAAAGAATCATAACAAACTTATTATGCTTGAATGATCCTATTAAAATTAGAAGAATCTCCTCCGAATAGTCCCTGAAGTAGTCCACTGATAGTTAAACTTTTAAAAGATAAATGCAAGTATAGGCCAATACCAAGTAATTAATCATGGGGATTTTGGCACATGCCTGAAGGAACTGTCGCCAGAAAACACAGAGTCCTGTAAAGTCTTTTGAAAAATCAGATGTGATACAAAAGGATGTTACAAAAGCTTGAAAACTAGTGATACTCCTAGTTGAATACAAACACTAATCATTATGAATAATAAACTATGTTTTAAAACTAGTTTCAGGATCAAGAAACTAATTTTAATGGTCATCCAAGATGCTGCTGACAACCAATTCAAAAATTTAGTAAAGAATTCTGAAGTGATTATAGGAGTTTCCTATAATAATTTTTACTTGCCTGTTTTGCAAAGGTGGTTGCAAGCATTCTTGAATTATATTAATAAGTTACTTGAACAACAAAACATTTTTGTTTTTTCTAGTAAGAAATCTTAAACGGAAAACTGTTATTATGCCAACTCAGTGCTGTAAGGTAATCAATTTAAGTGAACACAATAAATATCAGCAGTCATGTTTTCATAAATACAGATTTTCCCATTTACTATTTTTTTCCCCAGGATAAATTAAAATAGTTCTTACCTAATTCATAGAGATGCCCATCTACATGAACTAATGCAATAAAATGAAGATCTACTTTTTCATCTATATTTGGTGCCTAGGAGGGGAAAATACATAGTATGTATGTTAGTAGTCAAAACAAATCAATCGACTTACAGGTAAACACATCTAAATAATATTAAATGACATGAAAAAACATTCATTAACAATATGATTCAAGGCTTAGTCTTTGATATGGTGGACAGAGAGTGAACATGCCTACATTTATAACAAATGTGTTCACCCATCAACAAAGAAAACACTGACTCTACATCTCTGAAAACTACACTGAAAACTACATCTCTCTTAATCTCAACTGACCTAAAAACCTAAAGTTCTATTCACTTTGGAAGCTTCAGCCCCTAGCACAATGCCTGGTACACAGTAGACGTACAATGTATATTTGCTAAATGATATGAATTCATGAACTAATTTGTCTAATTTTTGAAATTCAAATAAACTTTTTAGAAGTTGAATAGCATAAAATGAGTTAAAGAAACTCTCTTCAAGTTAAATTTTAAGACATCAAGAAAGTAAGTTTTTTCCCTTAATGATTTAACCTTAATAATCTCATTTTTTGAATAATGCAATATAGACTTAAGAGTATTTTTTATTCATCCTAGATTCAAAAAGTGTATTCATCCTAGATCCAAAAATCTAACTGGTTTGAAATGAAATATAATCACTGCTAAATGCAAGTACAAATTTTAAGAGGTAAAGAGGCAGAAATCAAATTATATCTCATATCATTTAATATCCATTAAGCAACACAAAGTATATAGGACTGATGCTGAAGCTGAGGCTCTGATACTATGATACTTTGGCCACTTGATGTGAAGATTTGACTCACTGGAAACACCCTGATACTTGGAAAGATTGAAAACAGGAGGAGAAGGGGACGAGAAAGGATGAGATGGTTGGATAGCATCACCAACTCAATGGACATGAGTTTGAGCAAACTCCAGGAGACAGTGAAGGACAGGGAAGTCTGGCGTGCTGCAGTCCATAGGGCTGCAAAGAGTCGGACACAATGACTGAACAACAACACAAAGTTAACTTTTGCTAACTTTGTTAACTCTAATTTTTATTTTTTCACCCTCAAATAATTATATAATTTTAAGTTTTAAGTAATACAAAGTTTTCAGATAAAGAAATTGAAAGGTACAGAATAAACACCGCTATCCTGGGTTTACTGGGTGGGTACTTAGTCGTGTCTAACTCTGTGACTCCATGGACTGTGACTTGTCAGGCTCCTCTGTCCATGAGATTTTCCAGGCAAGAATACTGGAGTGGGTTGCCAATTCCTAATCCAGGCAATTTTCCCAACCCAGGGATCGAACCCACGTCTCCTATGACTCTTGAATTGACAGGTGGATTCTTTACCACTGAATCACCTGGTAAGCCACCTTGGATTTACTGGATGCTTCTAAAAATATTTACAGATAGTGACTCACGTAAGCTCACATTATTCTTCAGAGATTACTTCCCTCAAATTGTGAAGGGGTGTAACACAACATGCATTGCTGTCGCAAACTGCTGCTGCCGCTGCTGCTAAGTCGCTTCAGTCGTGTCCGACTCTGTGTGACCCCATAGACGGCAGCCCACCAGGCTCCCCCATCCCTGGGATTCTCCAGGCAAGAACACTGGAGTGGGTTGCCATTTCCTTCTCCAATGCATGAAAGTGAAAAGTGAAAGTGAAGTCGCTCAGTCGTGTCCGACTCTTAGCGACCCCATGGACTGAATGAAGCCATGGGGTTTTCCAGGCAAAAGAGTACTGGAGTGGGTTGCCGTTGCCTTCTCCAGCTGTGGCAAACTAGCTCTTCTTGAACTTGACCTAGAGCTAAAGAATCCCACAGTTGGTAGGAACCACAGTCATGCAGAATCACTGTTGTTCTGACACTAGGCTGCTCTGGACTGCAGCCCATTCGTGGCAGCCCCGCCAGCAACAGGGACCTGCCACTAGGTTTTCAGGTAGTCATTTCCATTTGGACAGTTTTGTTAGAATTATCCCACCTGCTGAGGCACAAAATGTTTCCCAGTATTTTCCGCCATCTTAAAAAAGACTAATCCCTCTTGAACATGGTATTTCTCCAAACACTTAGATAGTAATAATAAGTTCCCTTATTTTACTGGTCAGAGAATCAAAAATTTTAGTGATCCCTCAAACCTAGTACCCCCATTTTAGCAATGACCAGAGAGAACCCAATTTTTCAAGGCTAAATCTAGGCAATTCTACAAACTATAAATTCAATTCTATATAAAAACACTAGAAAGAATTCCTTATACAATCAAACCCCAGGAAAGGGGCTTGATTTACTGCTTTTAAGATGCAATTCTCCAATAGGACATCAAGTATTTTAAACTTTTAAGCTATTATGTTTTTAAAAATTATCACTTATTTTTACACTGTCTCTTAAGAATAATATCTCTTCTATAATAGCTTCTGTTTTTCACATTTTGTAAGTAAATACAACTGTGCTAGAGGTAAAAGTAATGCAACTGGAATCAGAGACCTGACTATGTACTCAACCCCCGAGTACTGGGTTTCTTACCCATTTTCAGGTTTAAATGAAATTCATGAGAGTACTTTGTTAACTGTAACATGCCCTATAAACATTATATATTATTATAATATTAACACTACATTATCACAAATGTAAGAAATCACTAAATCTAAGTGACTCAAAATTGTGAGTCATTGTACCTTTTATCCAAAAGTGCATACTAAAAATCCAAACTGCTAAAAGAAGGTATGAAAAATCTTCAAACCATTATAAAAGATAAGAAATGCTCAAAACTTCTACCCTTTCCACAAAACCTCAGTACCTATTACAAGCCTTTTCCTTTGGTCAGCTTCAATTAATCAGGGTCTTAAATCTATACTTATGCAACTGCTTAGGCATTACTCCAGTAGAAGCAAGAACAATCAGTAAAAAACAAATTCCAGATTAGATCATCTTTGCCTACATTTTTATATATTATTTTTACAAAGTTTCTTAATTTAGAACACACTTCTTACTACCACGAAGAATCAAAAAGTGATGTGACAAATCAATTAGATACAAAATTAAATACTAAATAGAAATTTAAAAAGCTAAATAGAAATTTCAAATGATAAGAAATAGCTTAAATTTAATTTATAATTGTGGTACTAAATATATACCAGATATTGTTCTAAGCACTTTATAAGAACTGACCAATTAATAGTCATATGGACCCTATGAGGTAAGTAAAACAGTTATATCCACAGTACTCATTGTCACATAGACCCTATGAGGTAGGTAATATAGTGACATCCACTGCACTCATTGTCACATAGGCCCTATGAGGTAGGTAATATAGTTACATCCACTGTACTCTCAATCGACACACAGAAGCATTAAGTAACATGCTCTAGGTCACAAAGCTAGTAAGTGATAGAATCTGGTTTCAAGTCCAGGCAATGTCATTCTAGAATATACATTCTTAGTCACTAGGCTATGAAAACACTTGTAAAATTACAAAGCAGTGATTAATATGGAGCAAACATTAATATTACATAAAAATATAAAACTGGAAATGTCAATTTTTATGACATGTTCATTGATATTTAGAATATTTTTAAGTACAAAGGAATTCATTCCTATTTAGAATCAACTGTGCCCAAGTAAGAACTTACAAATTAGGGTTTTACTCTGATCATCTGATTCACTTGCATCTCTTCCTATTGTGCCAGTGTATGGCATGGTAGGAAAGCAATAAATATCAGGTGGATAAATAAATAAAAATGACAAATGCATGTTTGTGACCCAATGAGGATAATGAAATAGAGAGACACCAGTCTGCTGATCAAAGGCTATTTTGGTGACCATACTGGTATCTGATGGAAGATGTTTAAGGAAAAGTGCCAAGACTCCACTTTATAGGAATAGCTCTAAAACAGTAAATAAGCAGAAGGAAAGAATGTTTGACACCAATTTTTAATTTTTTTAAGCATTAAAGTATGTGTAATCAGACTTCCTCTGGCTTCAAAAGTCACAATGATTTCCTCAAGTGTTAAGTTTCTTATAAACGTATGGCATACACCAAGTCTTTCAGATGTAGCATTTCTAGGTAGGCTCTGCCAAACAACAATCATTACCATTTTCTAAAACATCAGAAAGACAAGAACTATAGTTGCCAATCCTGCATTTTATTTCAATTATGAGAATTACTAGAATTCTATCATCAACCTTCACATTTAAGGTAATCAGCACAATTACAAGAACAAATGTACTTTTTAACAGTTTGCTAACATTACCAACTTAAGAAGGAGAAATTATGAAATTTGTGGGAATCCTATATCAATTCACAAGGAGAAAATCTTCATCTCCTGCTTGAGAAAAGATCTTCAGAAACTGAATAGGCAGGGAAGATTGGATCAAGATTAAACCAAGTACCTGAGCCACCTCAGGGAATAAAATAGTTTAGATGAACACCCTACACCATGAAGGATTAGATTAAGGACAGAGTAAGTAAAAGTAACCCCAGAGCATGACAAGAGACCAAAGTCATGTTCAGAAACATGAAAAAAAAAAATAAAGGAAGAGATGGCAAAGAACGCAGAAGGTACACAGCATTTGTTGACCTGAGTCAACTAAATGAAACTGGAAAGATGAAGGGTAAGAGAATACATATTCACCTGAACAACTGACAGGAACTTAAACATTATCATGAATGTTGATCAGCACTCATCAAAAGACAGGGACCTTTATGTTGGCAGGATATGGAGTGGAAAGATGGATGTTCACCAAGGCGCTGGTGAAAGTCAAGCTGAACTGCAAAGCATAGAGGTATGCTTGCAATCTTATCAGGGGAGAAAAAGCTAATGGCTGATGAACCAAGAGAAAAGCACTCTGAAGACTGAAGAAATCTAAGGGAAAAAATGGACTACCCCTGTCACTGGAAGAAGAGATGGAAGATTGACTACACTTACAACAGAATGGAGACCCAAAGGTGGCAGACGTAAGAAGGGTCGCCAGCGACGAAGACGGAGAGATGGACTGGTAGCCTTTGCAGGGCCTACATGGTTACGTTTGA